TGAGGGAGAGGAAGAAGAAGTGTTTGGGGTTAAGCAGGAAGGTAACACTTTAGTTGTGTTGTTGTTTTAACTTTTAAAAATATAATGCAGCATTGCTTTAAAAAGTCCTTAATTTAGTGGGGACAGGGAACACTTTGTTTTTAAACCTGAACCTCTGTTCTCACTAGGGGCGGTGTGGGAGGATGGGGGGATGGGAGGATGGGAGGATGGGAGGATGGGAGGATGGGAGGATGGGAGGATGGGAGGATGGGAGGATGGGAGGATGGGAGGATGGGAGGATGGGAGGATGGGAGGATGGGAGGATGGGAGGATGGGAGGATGGGAGGATGGGAGGATGGGAGGATGGGAGGATGGGAGGATGGGAGGATGGGAGGATGGGAGGATGGGAGGATGGGAGGATGGGAGGATGGGAGGATGGGAGGATGGGAGGATGGGAGGATGGGAGGATGGGAGGATGGGAGGATGGGAGGATGGGAGGATGGGAGGATGGGAGGATGGGAGGATGGGAGGATGGGAGGATGGGAGGATGGGAGGATGGGAGGATGGGAGGATGGGAGGATGGGAGGATGGGAGGATGGGAGGATGGGAGGATGGGAGGATGGGAGGATGGGAGGATGGGAGGATGGGAGGATGGGAGGATGGGAGGATGGGAGGATGGGAGGATGGGAGGATGGGAGGATGGGAGGATGGGAGGATGGGAGGATGGGAGGATGGGAGGATGGGAGGATGGGAGGATGGGAGGATGGGAGGATGGGAGGATGGGAGGATGGGAGGATGGGAGGATGGGAGGATGGGAGGGTGAGTTCATGGCTTTCCCTGGGGCTGCTTCTCTTCGGATATCTTGTTCTCTCTGACAAACTGTTCAAAGCCCCCCAGACTCACCACACCCACGTGATTCATCTCCTTACCCGCCTATGCTCAGGCCTCTGGAGGAAGAGCTTCGCTTAACCTCTTCTTGACTCGTTCCGTCCCTGGAGAGGCTGGAGTGACCCAGCTGATAGATAAATTTGGGAAGAATACCTGGTCGTTCTCCGTTCGGGTGTGGTCATCCTTCCCCTTGCGATATGCCTGTCTCCAAAGAGTATCTGTTGGCCCCGTTCCTTCACGCCCCATGCCGCCGAGAGCTGAGGCAGTGTGGGTGATGAGGTGCTGCCTGGAGAAGTCCTCCATGGAAACCAGCAGTGGAGAAAAGTTAGCTCCCACTAACAACCTCGCCCAACCGATAAGGTAAGCTTGCCTCGTGCCCGAGCCCCGCTAGGCTCTCGTTCTGAGCTTCTTCTTCATCTAGCCGTCATCCATAATTGAAGTTTTATTTTGGTTTTTCATCCACCATTTCTTTATTTGATTTTTCTAATTGTTCATAACTTAAAAGGGGATATGGAATGTTCTTCTGGGAACCCAACCGTTTTGGGGGTGGGACAGTGTTTAGAGACGTTGAGACATCAAAATCCGAATGGAATTTGGGCAGCAAGACATGCACGAGACCTGGGACATAGTGGCCGCCACGCCGTGTGGCAGAGGCTGGGGAACACGGGCGTTGGTGGTGTATGGAGGTTGTTAAGCCCTGTGGGTTTTTTCTCGGTGGTGCAAGTGGCCTGGGAGAGAGGTTTCAAACCCAGCTGTAAGCATTTGGAATCTCAAGGGTCATTTTAGTTTATGGTATTTTACTCCACAGACTTTCTGTGGAGTCCCAACTGCCCTCCTTAGGCCTTTGAAAAGCCTGAGTGGGCATTTTTTAAGCAAAAGTCACCAGGACCTCAGGAGAACTGCGGATCACCTCTCACAGAGACCGAGACATTCCTTCAGGGACTCAGAAGTTGTATTGACTCAATGCTAAGCATCTAAGGTGACTCAAGAGTTAATAATGAGACATTCGAGGTTATCATATTTGTGCCACCTGTGTTGAAAACCAGCCAATCTCCAGCTGTTAGAGCACTTATCCCAGGAACAGCTGTATTCCCAGAGCACAGTACCTAGGGAGCCCAACAGCTGTGGCAGACACCCAGGGTATCTGAGAGAAGGAAATCAGACGGAGAGGGTCCTTAGATCAGTTTCCCCTGATGCCTGTCATCCAATCCCTACTTTCTCGAATGTACTATCTGTGAACATAAACCCAATTGGCAGAAACATCCCCCAAAAGCCCCCCTTCCTTAGTAGACTGCAAGAGGCCTTTAAAAATGGGAGCAATTTGGCATAAATTAACTTGCAGGCCACAGGCCTGTGGGCATCCTCTCTAACACCAACAGTGCAGCAGTCTTATAAGCAAAGGCCCAGTGCAGCCTCAGGGCACCACTGCCCACTCTCCAGGGGACACTTTGCAGGGCTTTAGGTGGTACTAGGACGAATATGTGCTGCTTTCCTGATATTTTCTAGGGAGCAGGGTTCCAAAGCATTCCAGAGTGCTAGCAAGGTTCTAGCTTTTAACCCGTAGTGCCAGGGCGGGGTCACCAGCACTACCCCCATCACTACCCGCAACTTCCATTCTGAGTTTAGGCTCAAGGAGGGAACGGCGAGGTTCTAGCTTTGGATCCATGTGACTTGTCTCTAGTTGCCTCTGGATTGCTTTAGTGCACGTAAAGAAAAAAAAAAAAAACATCTCTAGGAGGCAGCTCTCTTAGGCCTGAACCTTGTGTAGTAAAGAACAGCCTGAACACCACTGCGGCTCAGGCCTGAAAATGCCTATACGCAGGAGTGGCCCCGAAATCCCTAGAGGGAGCCCTCACACAGTGGGTCCAGGGTGCCAGAAACACCCCCTCGTGGGAAGGGGAAAATGTAAATGAAGGCGTTATGCAATGAGAAGGCCTCTCTGATCCCAGATGCAAACAATGCACAAAGCCAAAATTAAGCCAGGAGTTCTCCCAGTTGATATTAAGAGCACAGGCTGCGAGTTCCGGAACACTGGCATCTTGGGGAGCAGAAACAAGATATTCTTGTTTTCAGGTACCACTGAGTTTATCCTCCGGTCTTTGGCAGCACTAGGTACTGAGATCGGGGAACACAGCTTTGTCTGAGATAACTGCTATAGCGCCTCTGAGTGGCTTGTTTCCAAACAAGGTCAGGTGTGGGGCCAAGGCTGTGATAATTTTGTGATAAGTCTCCACTCTAAAAAGTGAGCACTGGCCATGGCCACCCTGAACGTGCTCAATCTCGTCTGATCTCAGAAGCTAAGCAGGGTCGGGCCTCGTTAGTACTTGGATGGGAGACCACCTAGGAAGACCAGGCGTTATAGGCATAAAAAATAAATAAAAACATAAAAATAAAAAATAAAAAGTGAGCACATCAGAGACTGGTCTCTCGTTCCTTCTGGGGCCTGGAGGGAACTACTACCCCATGAGAGATAAGTCCAGCTACAGCTTCTGTAAGAACCTCAGCTCCACCGAGGAATCAAGAACTCCTTCGGCTGAGGCTGATCCAAATGAGAAATTCGGATAGATTTTGGATGTATTTTTCCTAACGTGTGTACATTAAACTCATGAGGGCAACTTAATTTGTTATTTAATTCTTATAGACTTCGTCTTTGGATTTTAATTTCCAAAGGGACTTTTTTTGAATGGGTTTTTTTCTCTGCAAGTTTACTAATGGAAAGGGATTTATAGTCAAAGTTGGACTATCATTTGTTGCTAGCGTTTTATTACCGAACTATCTTTCATGTATTTTCTTATAGGAACCTTTTTATATTGTAATTTACTCTCACTACAGATCCTCTGATATGCCATATTGGACAATGAAGCAGGAAAGAATTGAGGATGGAAAATAAAATAGTGAGTTAATTTTCAGTTTGGTACCTTTTTGACTTACTAGTACATTATTGGATCCATTTCAGAGCCTCTGGGAAACCAAAGATCTACTGACAGGCACAGGAAGTTACTCCGAAAAGCAGAGGCTGGCATTAGGGAAGTGGCCTCATAAAGGTGAGTGGCCTCATAAAGGTGACAGGAGGTCTGCTCTCCTCCAGGTGACTGGCCACAGCCCTGGTTGAGCAGTACAGTATTAAGCCCAGCACTGCAAGAGAACTTCAAGAGGAGGAATGTAGAAAGGGAACGCCCTGCCCTAATTTTGGTTTCCACAGGGAAACCCATAAAGTCTGACCTCAGGCCCTCAGTGACAAGGTATTTGCAAGGCACTATCCCAAGATGCTGGGGACACAGCTAGGAACAGGACACTCATGGGGCCCTATCTTCATGGAGCTTACAGTAGGCTGAGTCCCCTCACCCATTGTGACACTGCCTCCCTTTATTCCATTAACATACCAGGCTTATTGGTGCCACGTTGCCTCTTCTCCCGAGACTAACCTCATACGGAAATCTTGCAAAGCCTGAAATTCCACATTTCTTATTCATGCTTCCTTTGAACTCCTGTAGCTACCACACTGTCTCACATGACTGAGCACTTTCTTCCACGTCATCTGGACTCCATCGTTGGTCTTGTGAAGGTTTCTCAACCTCAGCACAGTTGATATCCTGGGTGGATAATTTTGTTGTGAGCGCTGGCCTGTGCACTGTAGGACGTTTGGCAGCCTTCGTGGCCTCTAGCCGCTAGATGCCACATCCCATATCCCGCACCCGCAAATTGCCAAATATCTAGGATGCAAAATCGACCCCAAGTTGAGAATCACTATTACTAGACCAGAGACCATGTTCTGTATCGCCAACGCTCTGAGCAGCTGCTCAAAGCCTGATTACAAAGGCCTGGTTAGAAACTGAATGTAACATGGTAGCACTGATTCGGCAGGTTAAGTCTTTAGAAACTAGGGACTGATAGACACAGTATCCCCTTAAAAAGTCCCACGTCTCTATCTTAAGACTGAAATTTAGTACATCAGAAGCAAGGCTAAAATCTGTGCTTCCTTAAATATCTGAGTGCTGGGAATACTTTTTTTTCAGGGATGATAATCTAATAATAAAAATTCCCTCAAATGCCATAGTCATACTGATTACTGATCGAAAGATTAAGATTAGTAAATTCACACAAGAGGTGAGAAAATGGAATGTACGACTCTATTCAGTTAGAAGCAATTATAGGGAATTTTATTTAACTGTCAATTTGTCACCGACATCTAACATTTATAATTTTGCTACATTTTGATAAGCACATTAAGAAGAAAATGTAAATTAAATACTGTGAAAATTTACTTTTAATGAAACATAATTTTAATAAGATATGGATATATAAATTTAGTGGTTTTATTGCATTGTTAGAAATTATATTAAGAAAGATACAAAAAGAATCAATAGATGTTTATTTACAATTAATATTGCCATTTTGGGCTTTAAATTTTCATTTATCCAAAAGGTTTCAAAGAATAGTTTATTACATGCCTTGATAAAACACTTAAAATATTTACAAATTCAAAATAGATGTTTTATAACTGAAAAACGTTCACCTGAGAATTCACTATAACATTGCCATTTGTTTCATTATTTTTCCCAAGTTGTTAATGTGGTTGAGTGTCCACATGCAGCCTGTATCGTCTACTGCATCAAATATATTTAATCCCTTATTTAAAATTGGTTGAGTATTAGGCTACAGTAAATTATGTTATAAAATTTACAAATGGAGAACCAAGATTTATATCCATATTTGCTTTGAATATAACCATTTAACAACAAATTACTTGCCACGGGTGCGGAATTCAAATAATGAAAATACTTTTAAGGTAATGTTATTTTACTGAGTTAGACATAACAGCTTTTTAAAAATCAAAACTTGAAACCAATTCAGAAAATAAGGAACAATGATCATGTAAATATGTAATTACAAACTGAAAACCTTTCCAAAATTCTGCATGAAGGAAAAGATATACACTGTATATACATAATCCTATCATTTGTCTTCGGCACCCTGAAAACAAAATCAATTTAAAACAAATTTCCTTAGAAAAAAACTTCTTTAGAAGTTAACTTTAAAATAGGCATAAATGTGTAATGCTATGCAATATACAGAAAATTTTCCCACCTTATGGCCAAATGTCAAAGATAAAAAACCTTTTTTATCTTTCTGTCCCTCTGTATTACAACTTGAAAGTCATGGAGGTATGAGGTAGTGTAGTTACTTGTATTATATGCTGGCTAGTAAAAGAAATGCTATATTTTACAAAATATTACAGTTGGCTAATGATCAGACTATCATTAAAATAAAGCCTTAATGCTAAACTGTTCATATGTAGAGAGAAATTTCAACCAAACGTCTTAAAAATCATATTTAAACTCTGGAGACAACATTGTTTTACCATGAAATAGGAAGCAAGCTTTCAAAGCAGTTATGTACAGTAGCAATTAAAGCAAAAGATCATTTGACATTTGCACAGACACGTACTGGTACAACAGACAGGTGAGTATACACTGAGGTAGGAAATCAAGGATTCCATTGGTTTGTAGAAGATTTTACATTTTGTAAACCAGGAACATTTTCATATTATATTTTGGACTTAAAATTTAATATTACAAATACCAAACAAAGAGCTACATGGGATTATATATGTGTGTGTATGTACATACCTACACACATAAGTCTTTTATAGTATGGGATGCGTTATCATAGAGTTAATATCATTCTCCCTGAAAACTTCGAGTGTATTTATAAAAGCCTTTAGAAAATAAACAAGCCTGACTAGTTTTCTCTTATAATAACTGAGTCAATAACAGAAATAACATATAAGCCACTGAAAATATACTAGGAATGTCTCTCCACAACCCCTCCGCCCATCAAAAAGGGTAACATTTGACAAATTACTCTGAAATATTAGGTGTGGTCCCCATATACTCTCACAGCAAAGGTCTACTTGCTTCAGACTCATTCCTCCATAATGGATGGCTGTCTCCCACGTTAGTTACACAGGCCCTCCGCTAGATTCAGGATGCGATCTATAGAAGTCTTTTCCTTAGGAGTCTGATCCTGGTGAAATGAAGTACTTTCTAATCCAAACACTATAAATTACTCCTTTGTGCCCTTTAAAACTGAGTTCTGCAAGTGCTTCTGTGAAGAATATGTGCAGTTTTTTTAATTGCTGAGAAGGTCAATATCGATAGCTTTCATTTGTAACACCAGACTGGCTAAGAACCACTACGAAACGTTATGGGATAAGCACTCAGATTATAAAAACTATGTTGTAAAACAGAACTGAATAAATACAAAGACGGATTTTTAAATGCCCAAGTCAAAATGATTTGTGTGCCCTCATACACCAGATCTGGGGAGGGGAGCAAGATTAAATCTGGTTTCCAAATTCAAACCCGCAGTGAAACAAGATGGTCTTATATCCTATTTCACATACCTGCACGGTTATTGTAGATACATTTTTAACTATAATAATGTTTTTTACGAGTAAACCATAGGATTTCAACAACAGGATGAAAAACAACTGCCACTCCTAACAAAAGCAGGCAACTTTCTCTCCCTGTGACGTGTGGTTTTTGCAGGGGCGAGCTATGGTGGGAAGGCGAACGGCCTTGTATTTTGATAAGCTCTCCAAGATGCCAGGAAGGCTGAGACAACTGTGCCAACGTGGTCGCTCAAAAGAGACAAGACGGTCAGGGAATGGAAAGATCATGATGGACCCAGATACGGTAGAGACTAAAGAGAAAAAAAAAAAAGAAAACAGGGAACATGACACCTATCTGTTTATTCAACCAGAATTTCTAAAGTCGACAATGGGAAGGAGCAGAAACCTCTGCCTTAGGCCAACCGCCTGTCTGTCCTGCTTCCTACATATTTCCAATGTAGCGCAGGACTCACAGTGCAGGCCAACCAGTCCCTGGTTTTTGTAGGAGCTGAAGAGCAAAGCTCCAGGATTCAGGTAAGATGCTTTCTTTCTTTTTCACACTGCGGTTCTACACAAATATTCCCAGTAGTTGACACCCTACTTCTGAGTAGATCTAAATTCTATCAGCATTACTTGGAGAGAAATTTTCTTTTAAATAAACCAGAATATTGCAAAAGGTCAGATTATTAAACTTTTACAGGCTACTTCTTTAGTAGGAACTAGCTGCAGACATTTCAAGCTATTAAACTATTGTTTGATAGGCTGCATGTTTCATTCTCATATTTATTTTGGAAGAGGAGAAGAGTTAGTACTAATAGATATTATTCTTTAAAACATAAGTTTTTAAAGGCTTACTACATTTTCACATGTGATTTTTTTTTTTCTGGTATCCAGGAGGCAAATCACCTCTGCATCTCTTGTGGAGTTAGGGAAAAGTCAGGGCTGACTTTGGAGGAATTCCCTTAACAGCCAACTACTGCGGGAACAAACAGTATTGTTCAGAGACAGATGGCGATATTAGGTTTTCAAGACAAATGTCAAAACTTCAGTAGAAAAATCAGATGGTTTCAAGGAAATGAATGCAAGTTTACTCATCAGTAGTACATTTATCTGTCATCTGCTGACAGAAATCTGAGATGCCTGCGCTCTGCCGACACTGTCCCGCAGGTCCAGCTTGTTCAGAAGCTGTGCCAGTAGTCCGCCTTGACTCCGGCCCCTGCACGCAGCCCAACTCACTGCTCTTCACACTGGCACAGCGAAGGCTTTGCTCGCACATGGGTGGCACAGCCGGAGGCCCCTCGGGTAAACTCAAAACTGATGGTAACATGAGCGCACCCTCAGAAGTATTTTTTTCTTTTTCAGAAATTAAAAATGAAAGTGGGCAATCTGAGGCTGAGTACTTGGCGAGTATCTGGATTTGTTCTTGACTTAGAGCTGCTTCTTTACAGACTTGCTGGCAAAGTCCAGTTAGGTTCTGCTTTGTCTCGCCCAGAGTTGACAAAATGTGATCTCTTTCCTTCAACAAGCTCTCCTTTTCATTTTGCTGTGAAGGCAAGAAAGAAAATACAACTACTGTGTTTATGAACTCAATCGACATTTCTAAGGTGATCAAACATTAGTATCTACGGTACTTTCTTATTAAATAAAATCGCATGGAATTTTTCTTTTCAATTCAATTCAAAAATATATTAAATACCTCAAGTCCATAATCCCTCATGCAAAACTCTTAGGCTAGATGTATCTTGGGATTCAGAATTTTTCAGATTTTAGAAAGATAACAGAGATACACACCTAATTCCTCTAGCAGGGTTTGGAGCAGCACCCCATTATCAAACATCTCCATACTTCTAAAAACACATGAAAATATCAAATAATGCACAAAGTAGGACAAAGACTCTGCATAGCCTAATGTCAGTTTGCATACCAGTCTTTTGGGGTTTTTTTGTTTTTGTTTTTTTGGGGGTTTTTTTGCCAAAACAGTTTATGACAAACTTGTATGGTGTTCAGAGCTTTTTTGGATTCGTGGACTGCAGATAAACAAAGACTGATTTGATATTTCAGATAGAATATAACCAAAAGAATACATCTGATGATAACTACTGCGACTCAAATCACTGCAAGTCTCTAATAATGATTAACATTTGTTGAGTATTTACTTTGTGTATTTGAAAACATTTAGCACAAGATTTGGCACAATCTCAATTGCGTTTCAAATACACAATTCACACAATGACTCCTGATTAAAGCAATATTAAACCCATTTTATAGATGGGACTCTGAGTTTAGCATGCCCGGACTCAGAAGGCTAGTGCATGAGTTAGTTTCAAGTGTGAAGAATTTGGTGGGTGGGGGGCCAGGGGTATCTAATATTGTGAAAATACACAATACCTATAAAGTACTACATTTTTATATTGTATTCTCCAATTTGTTTAGAATTTTACACAATAGTTCTGTTTTGAAAAATAAGTATAGGTCAATAATATATATCTATATGTTTATCTATAAATGAATAAATAAAACTAAGATCGATGTTCAACAAGTCCATTTTTTTCTTACAGAGAGTTTGTCAGCTGCAGCCTTCTGACAAAATGAGTCTGCAGGTGCCTAGAGGGTGAGAACAGCACCTAGGACTGCCTGTCCAGAGAAGAAACACATTTAATGCACTCAGCACCCACTTATCCTACAGATCCTAGGAAGAATATAAATATTTTTAACTTCTGTATCTTTAGATAAACGTTAGAATGATCTTAAATATTCTCACTACTCCTACTCCAGCAAATAAAGGATGACATTACTATGCTCTTTAAGTATGTTCCATACAAGGTGGCTCACTTCTTTATAACTAAAACCAACAGGTACACCCCTAAAACTCTACCATGATTATCTCCATAAATTAAGTGCTCCCATCTGTCCTCCACACTTTAAGCTAACTCCTACACAAACATGTTTCTAGGAAGTTGGTGACTTTTCCATTTCGGTCTATTTTAAAACACAAATTTACTTCAATAGCACTCAGATTAATAACTGATGGTTAAATAAATAAAAGTAATTCAAGTTCATCACTTCATATCATTATTAAAGACATCTTCCAAACATACACACGACCAGTATCCTGCTACCTATTGCTACAATATATTTTAATTATCTTACAACGCAACTTTATAACCCATAAGTTTGAAGTGCTGTGACTTTAATCACAGATGTATAAAAAAAAAATGAATAAAACTCATGTTCTAGTACTATTCTGCGTTTCTTCACAACATAACAAATTTGCATCCCAATCCACATTTTCATTCAAATATAAGAAGTTTAAAAAAATCATTTAAAACATAACTCACCCAATAAAGATAAAGAGTGTAAGAATTTGGCACCAAAAGAGCTATATGATGGTGTCAATTTATTTTAGGTTAAGGCGTATTCACTACTAGAAAAGGTGACTAACAGTTCCCTACAGTGTAAAACCTCTGCACAGACAGCTCAGAGAAATATACAAATGGCCCTTAAAATTTGAATAAAATGCTAAATTTCACTCATAAGAGAGATAAAAATAAAAATTACCATGAGATACCAGTTCTCACCATCAGACTGAACAAAACCAAAAGCTGACAGCAAACTCTTTGCTGAGGTGTGGGCACAGACAGACATACAAATACTGTGGAGGGAAGGTAAAATGCTACAACCCATACCAAGTGGAATTTATTAATATGTAACAAAATTACCTATGTATTTACCCTTAAACCTAATAATTCCAATTCTAGGAATCTATCCTAAAGATACAACTCAAACATCAAAAAACAATGTACACAGTTATTTACTGCAACATCCCAAATGTCCACCAGTGAGAAACTGTTTTGAATAAACTGCTACAGCCACAATTAGTATTTCAGAGCTCTAAGAAGAGAAACCACTTCTCAAATGAGAAGAGAAGAATACAGAATAGTGTACAAAGAGTACTTCTATGTAGCGAGAAAGGGTAATAATAATACACATGAAATATTAACCTGTTTTTAGAAAAGAAACACAAGGAAAAAAATCCAGAGACTAATAAAAATGGATGCCTAGAGGAAATAGCTATCAATAGAATGTAGGGAGAGGATGAGATCAAGCTTTTGGAGTACAGCTTTTTTAAAATATAGTTTTAACTTCTGACATACAAATGTTTTATATATTCAAAAATGAAACGAATAAAAATGTGAAGAGTAAATCCTAGTAATAAATATAAACGGAAACTAATTTAACTGTATATCGAATTGCTAACATAGACAAAGAACTGTTTCAAATAACTTTTAAACTTTAAACCAGTACATGATGGTATACATATTTAAGGACAAAAAAGGCAAAGAAATCTTAAATTTTACTTCATCGGTTTATTGTTAATATTAATATTGGCATTACAATTTTGTGACTTACATATACTAGCATAAAGCAAATAATAAATATATTAATGTAATTGGGAGCCGAGATTTTCCCTATAACGGAAAGAGAAAAAATACAAACATAAAAAAGAAGCAAATACAAAAACTCTACTCTAAGTTTTGGTTGGAAATGTCTATAAAAACTCATGATTTCTAATATGCTTTTTACTTTTATTGAAGCATCACGTACATACTGAATGCACTCATGATTTGATACATGCATACACACATGCGTGCGCACACACACGCACACACACTCTCTCTTACTTCCCAGCTGTTTACTGAAAGGTCCCAGAAGAAGCAACACTCCAGCAGCAAGCATGCTTTCTAAAGCCTAATATATCTGCTCAAAAAAAAAAACTCCAGAATTTTAGAAAAAGGAGTGATTCCAAATCTTGGGACAAGAGAGGTACAGGTGAGCCTGTGACTTCTTGTTCCAGATGGCACAAAAGCACTAACGGCGTCATGTCAAAAGGTCATAGGAGTTGGCTTGATGGGGCTCTCCCCAGCCAAGTTTGAAAAAATGTCAACCTATTATGGACTCTAAGAAATTAGAAAAAAATTAACCCACGAGTCCATAGTGACACTTAAGGAGTGAGATGGGAAGGAGGGCAAGGAGTAGGGAAGAAAAGTTCTTTTTAAAGAGGAATACAAAGAAGTGTAAGTGGAATGACAGAATAAGGAAAATTACTATTTTGCAATTCCCACTGTAAAGGGTATTTTGTAATTCCCAGACACAAATCTGGCCAGAAAGAGACAGAGACCCACAGAAGGAAAGAGAAGACATATGTTGCAATTATATGTCTGTAACTGAATCTACATGAGATTGTTTATTGTATTATTCATTTAACTTTTATGACAGCTTGAAATATTTAGAATTGGGGGCGAGGGGGAGATGAATCTCAAGAAAAAATAAAAACACATAAACCTGGCTCCCTATGAAATAAGCATTTTATTGGCAAGGATTATATCTCATTCATCTTTGATTTCCTGTACCCAGTACAACATTTAATATGTAATGGCCAGCAGATGTTCATAGAAAGGAGAGAGAACTACTTTTATTTAAAATACAACTACTCGTATTTATTGAGCCCTGAATATGTTCTAAGCAGTACAAAAAGCTTTCCATCCCTGATGGCATCTGATCCTTGCACCCATCCTAAGGGAGATACTATTCTTATCCCTATATTATCAAACAGGGATTGTGGGTATTAGAAGTAAAATAATGTCCCCAGCCACGAGTCTACCAAGTGGCCAGGCAGAATTTCCAGCTGCTTGACCCCGAAGCCTCCTCTGTGTTCTAGTGCAGTAGGTTCTCAAAACTTAATGTGCATTATAAAGACTTACCCTGGAAACTTTTATAAAACATATATTCCCACGAGTCCAGGATGGGACTAAGGAATGTGTGTGTTGAGGGGGCACCCCCAGACAACTCTGATGACAATGGTACAAAGATCACATTCCAAGATATGCTGCTCAAGGGCATCACAGAGCAGCAGAGGCCAGGATTCAGAAGGGCACGTGGCTGTGTCTGGAGATGGCAGTGTGCATGTGGGTAGAGCAGCCAGCACAATGTGACCAAAACAGGCTTACTTTTAATAAAATAATACAATCTTCAACACAAAATGCAGAACACTAAGGACGGATGAGGTCGCTTCACTGTACCATCACCATGGACAGAGACAATGAAACAAAATGATGTCTGAACACTGAGTTCAAGTGTTTTGTGAATATTCTGATTTCCGATCACTTATAAGCTGCTTTCAATCAATAGTTGATACCTTATTATAGAAATATATTTTAGCAATTTAACTTTTTTTAAATTAAAGAGCAAGGTTTTCTTCATTTCCGGTTTCCTTTGTTTGAAGCTTAAGTGGTATTAGAGACATATATATTTTCTAATTTATAAATTAATCTTCCAGAGAAGAATAAACATGGGCCTTGTAAAGAATCCTTTAAATCCTAAACACACAGAAGTTGAATGATTCTTGAACTTTGTTCAAGGCCTTATATTTGCATATTCAATCTTTATAGTGAAAGCAATGCTGAATTAATTAAAGCCTAACCTCTAACATACTATCAAATTCAAAATAAATGTTAAAAGTCATTACCACACCTTTCCATTTCTTAAAAATCCTATTTTGACTGACAGAATTTCTTGTTGAAAAATACAACTCATTAATTTACTGAATTTGAACATTTCCTTTTGGCTTTCCCAGCACATTAAGATTATAAAAGTGTCCTTTATATATGGTAAATATCTTCTCAATCTACCTTGAAGACATTTTAAAATCGTTATTCTTATTGTAATCAAAACGTTTTTTTCATGTGCTGATCCATCCAGTCTATTATGCTATTACTCTTAGAACCAACTGCAAACAGTTTACAGCTAATAGCCAGAGACCAAGGTTTACTAAAATATGGGGCCCTTTGCCTGAATATTACCAGAGTAGGGCAATATATATTGTAAATTTATTTATATGTTAATCCAATCTACTATTGGCTATATAGAAATGGCTATTTATGAAACAAGTAATTTCTCTTAAATAGGATTGCTAAAATCCCATCCAGACCATAAAGACTGGGAAATACTGCTTGTCTATTGGCCATGCGCCCAAAAAGTGACATCTCAAAATTAAAAAATAGAACATCTATCATACTCCTCTATATTCCCAACTCTCTGTACTACTAAATACAAAGCTGTGATGGAAGTGTGGCTGTAAGTACCTGGTTCTTTTCCATAACGTCACCCAATAACCAGGATCTAAGTTCTAAGTAAACTTCTTAACGTAATAAATATCCTAAGCATCAAATTCTTTTACTTCTAGGAAAAGGACCAGCTTTCTTTTTCTTCTAAGCTATAAGTAGCTCACTTTCTGCTATGTTTCATCTGAGGGAGAGATCTGTAGCAGGACTGAAATTTATAATGTTCCCCTATACTTTGCAACTGGAGTTTGCTGTACAAATCACTAGAACGGATAGCAGTGTGAAGGACTCAGCAGAGAGTTCAAAGAAGCTAAAACACAAGGCAAGTCATTCTAATTTTTTTAAAAAATTCTAATATGTTTTATCTGAGGATATTTTGGAAGAGGAGAGACTGAGCTGAGGTCTGACTGGTACGCACCTGGGTGAACAGACCCATCAGGCTGTCCGCACTGCCAGCCAGCCCAGAGAGCTGGGCTCTTGGCAGCCATGTTGCTATTCGTCCCCGCTCTCTAGTCACAGAAGGGGACACCTGAGGCAAAACAGGCCAACTCAATGCTCTCCTCAAATGGGAATTTAGAACTGAATTTATAGGCATTAGTCCATACCCGTCTGGATTTAATTTACTGAACTGACTTAAAACTGTCGTTTGCCTCTGGACCACTCCCTGGAGGACAGTAAAACTATTAGGAGCTGTGCTGCAGGCACTTCAGCCGCACACACAAAGCCACCCTGTGGTGTGGAGGGTTAGCGGGTGCACAGAGCTGCGCTGAGAGAAGGTTTTCTGGGCTCCTGCCAGTTTTCCACTTTCTTGTTTTATGCTATTTATGAGGCCTGTATCTATTCTTTGGCTTCCATATTAGACACACTTATATCCTTATAGCAAATTCATTCATTCATCCAACCATCCATCCATCCATCTATCCAGATGCTTTCTGCTGCTTGCAGCCAAAGAGTCTGAATTAATACAATAGGTAAACAGGATATTGACTACTCTAATTTTTTTTTTTTTATTATTTCATAAAAACTGCTGGGAAACCACATATCCCTCTGAATTGGAAATTAACCAACAGTTACTCTACTGACCATATGAGAGGCAATTTAAGGGTGAGGTCCAAACCCAGAGTTCACAGTTTAGGTAGAGATATTAAGAAAGAAGCAGTTAAAGGAGAGAAAACTGAAAATTGATAAATATTAGTATTACAAGAATAATAATAATAAAAAAGGTAATATTTATTGAGTACTTACTATGTACCAGGAAGTTTCCTAAGTCTTTTAGATATATTAACTCATTTAATCTTCATAAATGAACATCCGCTCCATAGAGTAAGAACTAGTGTTATCCCATTTTACAGATGAGAAATTTGAGAAAAAGAGAAATTAAATAGCCTGCCCAAAGTTACAAAGTGCCACAGATGGGAGTCTGATTCAGAATTCCATACTTTTAACCACTGTATCTCCCACCTGTCTCTCTGATGAAGCAAAGGCAGAGGAGACAGAAAGTCCAAAGAAAGTAGCAAGGCCCCTTCGTCATAAATATTTGAAATTTAGTAAAAGCATCAATTGTGCAGCAATCCAATGTCTGACTTCAATCGAAAAAATATAAATAAGACCTATAAGCCAGGAAATAAAATATTTCTAAAAGGTAATAGCTACTCTCCAAAATATCTGCTTAGTACCCATGTATAAAATAAAGTTACCAATGAACCAAATTTGATCAATGTGAAAGTTTTGTTTTCCTTATTGTTTTTAGGAGAGAAAGAAAACTGGATAAATTCTACCTACAGTTATATATTATTTTTATCCCGTTTTCTTTCTCTCTTCTCATCAGCTGAGGGGGGGAAGACAGAACTATAAGCAGCAGATCTAAGAACTCTAATAGTGTGATTTTACATAAATTTTGTATAGTTCTATATGACCCAACAGCCTAAAAGGCATCTCTGTATTACAGCAGAGAATAATAACAAAAGGTAAAATGCCAACTCTGTCTAAAGGCAAGTGTTTAATTCCAAGTTGGATAAGAAATACTAGTGCTTACAAGTGTGGACTAATACACACCCCCAAAATACTGGGTAAATATTACTGAATTTGTAACTTTTCATCCTTGATCCTAACCACTTTAATCATTTAAAAATAGCACATAGATTTTTCTATATCTCTCATGCCTCTATTTGTAAAACATCTGATTTCTCTTTCATCTTTTTATATAGTTACACTTCATCTTTTTTCTAGTTATACATTCCTCTTGTTGCATAATCAAAGTATATGCAAAATATATAAATAATACATTTTTAATTTTCCACTTTTTTGAAGGTACATAAAGGCATAGTTTTCTTTTTCTAAATTGTTCCTGTTTAATTGCTATTCATAGCTAGACTGTCCAGGCTTAAAAGTTTGCTACAATCACAATTTTAAACTCACCAATAATTAACAAGGACCCAAAACTGAATATTCCAGGAATGTTTTTACTTCTAGGTACTGTTTCCCTGCTGTCTCTAAGCACGTTTTTAGCTTTAGCTGGCCTGCACTCACAGTTGTTTTTTCATACACTGCTTCCTTCTACCAATCACTAGGGAAAACAGAAAAACGTGGGTGGAAATTAATCCGTATTTCAGTTAATATGTGTTTTGATGCTAGAATAGAAAGTAAGATTCAATAAAGTAAGCATTCTTCCCACTTAGTCCCATTAGATCTGAAAATTTTCCATTCATATCAGCATGTAAATTTTTTCCCTTAGAAGACAGACCCAAGTTGGTTTGGTTTCTTTGGGGTGGTATAAACCTAAACAAGTTATTCAAGTCTACAGTTTATGTTAACTAATAACTGAACCATTAACTTTTATACACGCTAAACTCAGCACAATTGAAGTGCTTTATAATTTCTTTAATCCTTACTCAGCTACTAAGAATTAGGTAGATAGTAAAATTATCCTTAATTTGTAAATCATTAAAAAATAAAAGCATCCAGAAGTAATCTTTAATTTACATATTATTATTATATGATCATTATAATCTGACTTAGGAAAAAAACTGAAATAGCTACCTCCTCTACACACACGCACACAAAAAGAACGAATGAATGTGGTGGAATTTAAATAGTAAGAAACTTGTATACTTACCAGTTTCTCGATTTCTGATTCAAGATTCTGTATACAGTCAAGCTTTCTCTTGCGACAGCGCTGAGCAGCAATTCTGTTTTTACTTCTTCTCCGAATATCATGGATACAATCCAGTTGTTCGGGAGTTAGTTTGTGCATTTTCAACAAGGATTGAAAATCATTTCGAGAGAGTGAAATTATTCGTTGTGCATTAAATGGCAGTTTTACCTAGAATGTGAAATAAACATTAGTAATTGTTGCTGCATTTTGTAATTACACTTAAACCCAGGATGAGGCAGATACACAACTTTGTTTTCCAGAGAACTTCGTTTAGACTTAAAAAAAGACCTTTATTCTCAATTTCTATACAATCCCTTATAATAAAGACTGATAATTTGAGATTTCTAGGTCTCTTTTAAAGAGGGTTCAGAAGACAAATAAATTGAGAAGCGGGTATTTTATCAGCAAATCAAACACAGTAATACAAGTATTAATGTATTTAATATGAAAAAACAGATTTTACTAGGGCATGTTAATATCCCACAGATATCTTTATGCCTCTTTCTAAAGTGTTTTTAACCAAACCAAAAACAAAACAAAACAAAACAAAACAAAAATCCATGTTATTCCTTGATTTATATTACTGTGTGGCTCTGATTTAATTATACACTGGTATAATTACACTAGTATTTCTAGAGGATTTCAAAAATTTTATTTTTCTGTCGGGAAATGGTAGTTTCACCTAACTCATTTCAAAAGCTACACATTTCACTTACCAATGTAGAAATAATTGGAAAAACTTTGTAAATATTTTAAATTCATTTTCAACATATATAAATTTGGAAAAAGATTTTTTTTAAATGACTAAACTTGGGACAATTTATATTAATGATCAAAAATGCAAATAAAACACTGGTCAGTTTCTTTGGCAACCTACTTAGTTTGTTATAAAAATTGTTTTAAAATTTCTTAAATATTTTATTTTTAACATTCTTTCCATAGTTTCAAACAATGGATTTATAAATGTCATACAGAAATCTATAGTTGTAACTCATGCACGCATATTACTTCTTAAAGCTCCTTCCAAAGCTAAGGAGAAAAAAAACTCTTATACTCTATCAAACCTGTGTCATCCAACAGGTGTAAAACCAAAGAAAATGATAAAGAACTCACAAGCCCTTATTATTACTAGAATCACAGTAATGTTTTTACAAAAAAAAAAAAAACAGCTATCGAATACAAACATTTGTACACAAAGTACACGGATCAAGCTTAGTATGATTAATATCATCCCAATTACATGTAACACATGCTAAATTATTAAGATATTCATTAAATTAATAGATGAAAGGGCTAAAGAAAAATAAGAAAAAAATAATGGCTATGAAAACCTAACGTAAAGAAAATTGTGCATTTAAAGCCACATTCCTGCAACTAGTCACTGCTAAGTCACTACCAAGTGAGTAGTCCTAGGTCTAGAGATCCTTGTGAAAATGAAAAGGACTGAATATATGCTACATTTTTCCAGGAATTACCATGTAATGATCACAGAATCATTCTTCCTCTTCCTCCTGGGGTATGGCATTTGCTATAAACAGTTAAACAGCCAATGTGTGAATCCACGCCATGGTTAACATAAACGAACCTGCTTGAAATATATGAACATGGACGTTCCTAACTTCATCACACTTCTGGAATGGGTCACATGGTTTTACAACTGTGTATGGGTTTCCCTCTCCCTCCCTGAGCCTGCTCATTTCCTTACTGGTGCAAATGGAGCTGACACAGAGCAAATCCCCATTAACGGTGGTAAAGCAATGACTTAACGACACACTCACGTTCCTCTCACCTCACATTCTTGTTCTCTGGCTGAACATGGTTCACTGTCTCCTTCGGTATCCGTCTCAGAGTCGTCCCCCAAGCTAATCACACAAGCATAGGGACAAGGTTCCTGCTGGGGTTCTGAAACATAATCATCGTTTCCAATTTCCAAACTGCTTGAACAGGCTTCGGTACTCAGAGTGCTTATGAAAGGGCAGTTGACAGAACTCAATGTTGCAAAAGTCCTCTGACCCGGTTCTGGGCTTTCGCTAATCCTGATACCTAACCAGGGACACTCGGACCGTTTCTGTGAATAGATTTGTTCTGAACCATCTTTGGCCACGGCAGGTGATAACTGCATTTGGCAAGGAGAGTCCGTGCTGCAAATGTCACTCCAGAAGCCTTTTGCTAGGTGCTCTGCCACTTCTCGTTCCACACTACTCCGATCACTACAGGCAAGGTTACTATCTTCTCTGGGGCCAGGGTCGGATTTCAAATGTAAATCTTGACTTTCACCAAATGTTTTCTCTTCTCCGATATCTGGACCTGACAAAGGCTTTTCTGTTAACCCTGCTGTGTTTTGCATACCAGCAAAATTCAAGTCACCATACTGGTCGTAAGTGTGTATAAGAGACAGAGAGTAGAGCCCAGGAGGGTCTGTAGAAGAATTATGGGGGAAAGGGGTCACCTCTGCTTTTTCTGATGGGCACTGAGAAGCAAGATCTTTCTTGGCTTCTTCATGTTCCACTGCTAATTTACTGTCCTCACATTTTAAAACCACCTGCAAATCTGCACAGTCCTGGCTTCCTCCCAGACATTCATTTTCGGATGTCTCATTTGGGTGAACAGAAGTGTGAACGTCTTTGACACCAGATTCCACAGTACGAACTCTGTCAGTTCCAAATGCTTTTTGAAATTTTCGGTATTTGGGGCATAAAGATGGCAAAGCCAGAGCAGCATCCTTCTCTAAGCACATGGACTCACATGTCTGACTAGCACTGTCTTGTAGAGGAGGTGATATTTTTGCATTTCCTTGATACCCACGGAGTTTACACTGAGGAGTCTGAACATTTTTATTTTCCAAAAATTTCTCCACTTCATCAATTTCTAAATCCCTCTGGTCCAAAAGTGAAAATTTAAGGTCTGTATTCTGACAGTGTGATGGGAAGCATTTTTTTCTTGGGCATTCTTGCTGGTCTGCGGTGGAGTCCAAAAACTTAAATTTGAGAAACTGAAAGCAGGATTCTTCGATATCATGCACACCTAAAAATTCCACACACTTGCACACTTCATCCACGTTGTCTTTATTTAAAAACAGTTTGGCAGTGTAGGCAAACTGAATTAAAGGTTCAAATCCTTTAACTGTCACCTGTTAATATACAAAATAAAAACAAATGCATCACTTGAAAGCTGTCCAGTAGATAAATATAAGAGAAGTAGAAGGGGAATAGAGATGAATAACTTATTTGTGATAATTATAAAATCGGCATTTGAAATGGGTAGAAAAAAATCTTCTGAGAAATATAAAGCTAAGGGAGTCTGGAAAAGCATGTTTATCACACACTATTCGTTGGGACCACATCTCTCTTACTGACACACGGATCATGGTTTACTCACATGAGGTAAATGAAGACACAAACATTATCACAATTTTTTCACATTACCTGAAATAACTATGAAAGAAAGTAGGATGGACACAACTTGCAACACACACATAGTCAAGTGCCAGGTGTCTGTTGTCAGCCTAGCTCCATGAGACCACTATATTTCAAACTGCTAACAACTACAAAAGTTAACATTTTAAGGATAAAATACATCTAAAGTACTTAAAGTAGTCTTGATTGATGGTAAATGCACAGTAAATGCTAACTGTTACCTTTCTCTCACGCTCAAAATTTTCTTATAAAATATTTAAAGATTTAGATTTAAAAAGTGATCAAAGTGAAATTCTAAAAATCATGCCTAGCACTGTTTCGGCAAAGGTTCGTAAATTCAGAAAACTTTAAGCAGAAACTTGTACATTTACAATGAACCTACCTGCCTCTGCAAAGTGGGGGCAAATGGAACCTACTGAAGTGCAGAGAAAGCCTTGTTCTGCATTAAAAATACAAAATTAATTTTAAAACACTAAGTTCCTGTAAGAGTGATGAAGATATAGTTTTTGTGATCTTCTTAAAAACGTTCTAAGCTGTGAATACTTAACTAGCTTTTAAATGGGTTAAAATAAAAAATAGTGACAACACCAAATACTGGTGAAGATGCAGAGAAAATGGGTCCATCATACATTCCCAATAGAAATGTAAAATGGTACAGCCACTTTGAAAAACAGTTTGGTAGTTTCTTATAAAACTAAACATGCAACTACCATAGGTCCCAGCAATTATAATCCTGTTCTTTATCCCAGAGAAATAAAAACTTATGTTCATACAAAAACCTGTACACAGATATTTATAGCAACTTTATCTGTAATAACCAAAAACTGGAATTAGCCTGATTTCCTTCAATAGGTGAAGAATTTAATAAATACTGGTACATTCATACTATAGAATACTGCTTGGCAATAAAAAGGACCAAACTACTGACATACACAACCTAGATGAATCTTAAGGGAAATAAGGTCAGCGTCAATGGAAAAAAGCCAATCTCAAAAGGTCACATACTGTATGATTACAACTATACAACATTTTTGAAACGACAAAACTTTAGAAAAGGAGCAAAGATTAGTGGTTGCCAGGGTCTAAGTTAGAGATGAAGGGTGGGAAGGAAGTGGGTGTGGTTACAAAAAAACAACTATTCAGTATCTTGACGTGGTGGGGCATACGTGGACCCACACGGAAGATGAAACTGTACAGAACTTCACATAGATACACACAACTTAGCACTAGTTAAACCAGGGAAAAGTGAGTAAGACGGTGTATTGTATTAACTTCAGTCTCCTGATTGTGATATTATACTTTAACTTTGCAAAATATTACAACTGTAAGAAGCTGGGCAAAGTGTGCAAGAGATCTCTCTGCATTGTTTGTGAATGTATAATGATCTCAGTAAGATTTTAATTAAAAAATAAGTTAAAATAATCAAAGAAAGGCTTTTAAGACAGTGAGTTAGCTGTATGATATTTTTAATGTCACGCTGATGAAACACTTTAAATATGTGAAAACAAAATTTACACTCAAATTAGAATGAATGCATACATACACACACACACATACATGCATGCATGCATACACCTTTCCTCCCAAACTCATGAATAAAACTTTGCTCTACTTGGAAAATTTCATTACGTAATTTGAAAATATAGACCATATGAAGTATGCGACCACTATGACATCCACAGCTACATTTTAGAAACAATGGCTGACCTATAGTTGGCCTTCTGTGTCATTTTCTTGGTTTTGCATTACTTGCTCCAACCTCTGCCACAGAACCTACAACCTGTTGACTCCCCAAACGGCAGATACGATTTCATGGAAGTATGCACGGCTAACGTAGCCTCAGTATCTGTCACAGGGCAGCCCACACGAACCTACCGTACACAAAAGTTCTACATACTTTCTCCAAATTTCTGTTAACAGATTCTAATTTGTGTTCCAGTGTCACAGGGCTCAAGGTTCTTCTAGCTGTAGTTACTAACTAACTAAAGCAAGCTGTTCTAATAAGGGTCAGTTTAGGTGTTTGAGCTCCAAACCAGGCTGGTGGAATAAGATGTGTAAAAACGGGGCTCTATAAATAAATTGTCCTTTTTCTACCGATGTGCAGACACGATCTCAAGAAAGAAGACAGAGGAGAGGAGAACACTTATGGAGCATCGACTCTCCATGAGGGCACGTCTCAGAAAAGTGGATGATCTATCCGATGGTTTACAAGCGAAACCCAGCCACAGTTTCCCATGACAGGAAAAAGGCCAAAGGGAGAGAACGGCAGGTAGGGTGACCTCTCTGAGCGGCTCTTGAAATGTCGTAACAGTGGGTCAAGTTATTTAACCGCTCAATAAATATTTTTAACTGACACCCAAAATAATTAATTTTACATGTAAAATGTCATAATTTTATGAAAAAAGGTAAAGAAATGCGTTGTTGCAGAACCTGGGAACTGCTCCTGAGCCTCAATGACAAGCAGACTGTTTTATTTTTAAATTAATAAACTGTAAGAGATTTAATCAAGTTAAATTAAATTAAAACCAGGGCGATTTCCAGAGGCATGTGCTCGTCACTCACCTCTTCTGGAAGAGTAATGTTAAGCTCCTCATCAGCCTGGTCTAAGATTCTCGAGTGGAAGTAGCTGCTGCATGCCGCCAGCACAGACCGGTGGGCGCGGAACGGCTGGCCCTCCACGAGGACCGTGACATCGCACAGCACGTCCTTCTTCCGCTGGTCGTCGAGGCTGAGCAGCACATTGGTGCTGTGCACAGAAGATTCATAGGCAAAAACCGCGTTCTCACTCAGAGACATTCTGCATAACAAATGGTGCTGGAAAGTTCAGTGAAAGCATGCTTCTAATTGCCATCAAACCTGTAAAGAACCATGCGACATTGCATTTACTTAAGATCTTGTTAAAAATGATTTTTAAAATGACAAGTGTCAAATATAAATTCAAACACTCATCACTAAAACAAAAATTGAAAGAACTGTTAGCGAACTTAGAAGCATTTTCTTCGACTTACATCATTTAAAAACGGGTCTCGATATCAGTTTTTCTAACTATTTTAGGAAAAAGGTTCTCGGAGTAGGGGAGGAAAGAAGTTTTTGAACCAAGGATTACGTGGCTCTCTGAAAGTGAGATGTTTTTCATCTTGAAAACACCTGCAATAAGCAAACATGGGCCAAGAAATTTCTGGGTGTCACCCCATTCCTGTTGCTTTAAGACATTAATGGGTGTGTGGGGGGTGGTCATCGGAGATTACAGTTTGGGACGGGACCAAACAGTGGAACAAGCACATGGTGAACAAGCACATGGTGGTCCATCAATTCTCCGTGCCCCATACCCTGACATCTCACAGCTGGTGGGAGGTCTTGGTGCTTTAGAACAAGGGACACGTTCTACAAAAGGTAAATTTCCTCCAACACAAAGAAGAAAATGACTTCTATAAGAAAAGACTGACATGTGTCAGGCCGAGTCTTAGAAATGAGTCTTTTTCTATAACAAGTCTTACAAAGTATAGGCCACAAGTACAACTACTTTATCATTAAGAACATGGGTTACCACGCAAAAAAACTCTTGGTTTTCTCAAAACGTTAAAACTAAGAGAAAGTTATCAAAGATGTATATTTTTTTAAATACGACCCTATGGTAGCCTCCAAACACTTTTTGATCATATACACACTACTTGCAAAAAAAAAAAAAAGTGTAGCTCCAATATATGCATGTTGGTCTATATATTTCAGATATGCACTACGTATGTTTTAAAACACCAGAGGCTAAAAGTAAGAGGTGACAAGTTCTAATATTTCCTTTCAGATCTCAACAGCCTATGTGGGCACCTCCAAGCTTAGTGCACCCCACTAAGACACAGTGACCATGTTGATGGAAGCTGACGAGCTCACAGGTATAGTGCCTGTGTCATTTACTTTTGTTCCTCTGACATCTTACTCACTGCCTGAAGCATAAAGGTCCTCAAATCTTCAGGGACTGAATAAATAAATGTTACTGTTTTCAGATTTACTATATTCCAAACAAAATGAAAGGAGAAATAAGGACTACTGAAAATTTCAGACAGACAAGGCCCGTATCATGGGTGAATGCCACCTCAAAGACAAGCTGTTTTAGTCACAAACACATGAAAGACATAAATTCCATTCTATTTGGGTGTTTATTTTTAAAGTGTTCAATAGAGCTGAAATGCTAAGTTCATCGTAAGTTGTCAATAAAAACTGAATCTCTCACACGGTTAAACTCTGCCCCGTCATTTACCGATTCAGCATGCCACATGAAATCATGGCAACTTCAGAATGATGTCCTAGAACTAACTCAATTTCTAGGGTATGAACAGAAGCAAAAGTAGGTAATTCCCTTTAACAACTGGTCTTAACATTTCAGTTATCAATGCAAGGAATGAGTGTTAAGAATAGTAGGGAAGAACCATCATTCAAAGAAATTACGTACCTTGTGTGTGGATACCCCACAGACCACTGCCCTCCACTTTCTCTAAGACTGTCCCCACCACCAGCCAAGCAGGACTCAGCAGGTGACCACTTGCCTTACTATGTTCCTGCTCCCAAGTCCCCAACCTCCTTATTCTTTCCTGGCATCTGCCCTGCAAACGCTTAAAACTACACTAGTCTTACTTTTACATCTTCTTATTCTGCTGAACACAGCACAGCCAGGAAAAACTATCAAAACATGCAGACTGGTGTCACTATAAATTAATAGTACAGTCTCCAAGTCTCAGCACTATTTATCAATTATTTGGTATGTCCCTGTCTCTCATTCACAACAGCCTTCCAAGTCGCCGCCTTCCTCCCCAGTAAGCATCTCTCCCGGTAAACCACCATAACTGGGACCCAATCTCAGAAAGCGTGCCCCTCCTACCACCTCCACAGGTTCCTCTCTTTTTGAAAACAATCCACTAATGTCTGCTCTTGATCCCACACCATCCTTGTTTCTCTGAAATCTAATGCTTTTCTCAACACTCACTCTTACTTATGTACAGCTTCTCTGTCTATGCTGGCTCCTTCCCACCGTCTTTGTTCATAAACGTTTCAGTCTCTCCAGAAACTGTCCTAAAAATACCGACTGCTAACCACAAATACTCACTGAACTCTGAATTCTGCACCAGACACTGAAATGAGTGCTAGATACTACGGCTTACCTCACCTACTCCTCGCAATAACCCTACGACACGGGTGCTCTTATATCATCCCAACTTTACAGATGAGGAAATTGGGGCTCAGTAAAAAGTGTCAAAAAACCAATCAGACAGAGAAGGAGGATTCGTACCAAACACCATGACACCATGTTCTGTTTCCGGTTAGTATCTGCTGAGTGCAGAGTATGGAGACAGCGCAGCAATGAGGGGAGCCGGTTATCATGCAAAGGTCATACGTGAGAGTAAGGACAGGGCCTCACAGAAAGCCAGGAACAAATGAACTGGACCTGCACTTCAGAAAGAGGGCTGCCGACCCTTCAACACTGGAATCTAAAGGTTCTTTGGACTCCAAGGGGACTACAGCAAAAACGATTCCCATACGTTCGCTCTAGAGCCGCTGTTCGCCCACGTGTGCCTGTGTCGCCTGCTGCCTCCAGCTGGCTCACTACTCACCTCAATTTCCAGACAGAGAATTTATTCTTGGCTCGACCCACCCGTTTAGGCCATCTGGGTGACAAATCACCTCCTAAGTCCACAGCAGCTTACAGATTTGCTGTAAGATACAGATTTAGATGATAAGCAAACCCCAAGTACATCAGCCACAGCTGAGACAAGCTAGAGAATCAGGTGGTTTGAGAGCCACCAGGAGGATCCCTCAAAAAAAGGCTGAGCACAGGCACCCCATGACTGATCTTGCTCCCAGCAGAAACCAGAGACTCATCCAAGAAAGCGCCCCACATTCGGAGCCTCTATCCAATCTCTGATCGATCTCTGGTGCCTCTGCCTCTTCGCACCGAGACCCAGTTCTGTCCACACGCACTGCCACAATTCTAGTCCAAGATACCACTGGCTCTTGCAGAGATAAACGTTTACTTTTTGCAATGGCTTACCCATGTACGATACAGTTATATAAAATAAAATACAATCTCGCCCATGTACGATACAGTTATATAAAATAAAAAGTGAAACGAACTTTCACATGTCAATGTTTTATCTGTTCTAGTACAAAGTACTCCAATTTCTACTCTGTTCTATTAAAAAAAAAAAATTTCCAGTGTGATCCACTCAATTTCAAGAACCACTAATAGACCATCACCTCACCCACTGAAGCACAAGCCAAGTGGCTAACAGCCCTGGTCTAGAATCATACACTGCCTGGGTTCAAACTCCAGCTCTAACACTTACTAACTACATGAGCCTGGACAAGCTGCTGATCCTTCCTGCCTTTGCTGGGAATTGGGATTACAACAGCATCCTCATGCGAGGTTCACATGAGACAGTGAGGGTAAAGGGTTTAGCATATTATCTAGCCCATAGCAGCTACTAATAACAACAAAGTTTCATTCCCTCAAGCCCTCTTGATCCCCTCTAATTGATTCTCCTACGTTAAAGTGGTTTCTCCTTTGCCTAAATTTTATGATCTCTTCCAAAATCCTTATGATCAATTCTAAATCCTTAGCATGTCCTCCAGATCTGTGTGTCCAGGTTTTCTATTAAACCAGCTTTACCTCAAGACTTTGTCTCCCCTCTCTTGCTATTTTCCAGCCTTGCCATCATACCTTCCTGCCCCACAGACACCAAAATTCTTCCGACCTCTGGGCCTTTACGCATGCTGTGTCCACTCCCTGGACTTCTCCTGCTCTTCAGCTGTCTAACTCCTGACCTTTTAGGTCTCAAATTAAATGTCAAAACCTTATTGCCTAACTTATTTTCTGCCCTCAAGCATCTAACAAAGTATCTGGTCCATTGCAGGTACTTGCTTCTGAACGAATGACTTGGCCATTTTTAGTACAAATCCAAAACCTAGATCATCTACATTTTCTTCCAAACACAGCAGTCAGCTAGCTATTCTAATACATATGGGAACAATAATGTCACCGAGGCAAGCTCTTGGAGAAAAGTCCCTGGACAGCTCTGCAAGAGCCCTGAGGAGTGAATGGGAGTCCTAGCTCATCCCTCTGGGAGCTCAAAATATACCCGCAAGACAAATGACCAAAGAGCAAAGATTAGCCACTACGGGCACAGATACTACAAATGACGAACGAATGAAGCCACTTCGACCCTGGCCTCAATGGCATGGGGCACTACAGAAAGTTCATCTGAAAATCAATTTTCCTAATTCTGCAAACCATCCAAGTGGTCAATAACCCATTTGTACCCAGTAATGACTAAGTTAGGTATGACACACATCCTTCTAACATCTGTCTGTCATTTTCCAACATTTCTCAAACCTAAAAAGATTTAACATCTCCAAGGAACCTTCCAGATCTAAAATCCTGTTAATTGATTAACATCAAATTTAGATTCCTATGTTATACCTGAATTTTTCTATGTTCTTGGAAATATACACTATTGCTAAAATTCAAAATAAAGGTTTGCTGACCTTAGCAAATTGCTGACTCACTCAGTAATGCTGATAAAGGGTGAACATGCATTTTAAAGCTTCCTGCACCTCGATTTGGAAATAACTTGTGCTTTCTGGTCAACATACACAATTTAAGTTTTAATACATTACCACTTGATGTTTTTGCCTTCAAAATCATAAAGAAAATGAAACGAGAATCTGTGGCTTTATCATGTTAATGAATTTAAGGATAATTTACTTTTAAAACAAATTTTTAAAAATCTAAGGTATATATCTGATCATGCAGCCAGGTCTGCGGCGCTTCATAGCAGAAATTCAGACGATGTCGTGTCTGGGGATGA